ACTGCGATATCATGTTTATGTAGCAATAATAAATATGACACATTTGTGACATGTCTCCAGTACCGATAAAAAGACCGATAACGTTGGAGTTTTACGGCACGTAAAACACACGTGATGACGTCACCAACGAATCGACGACTGAATTAGTTGGCAAATAATTTGGTCATCGATTGTAATCGATTAAGTCGATTAGTTGTTGCACCCCTATGTTGTAACAATGCTTTTTGGGAATACATCTTATACCGTTGGAAAGCCTGTTTTCTTACCTTTCCATAGGAACAAGAATTTGTGGGATGAGCAGCAGAGCTGAGTATGTGGGTTGTGCCCATGAAAAATGTGAAAAATCTCCTCTGCCAAACAGCTTTTTTTGCTGCTGACTCTAGTTTGGTTTTGTTTGTTGGATTGGATGATTGAAGTCTGATAAATAAAGACATTGGCAACAATTGATTTAATAACAATTGATTCATTTAACAAGCAGCCTCAGTAGCGTGTGGAAGAACCAAACACAGTTGTGGGATGGCATCCCATTCTCCAACCAGCATTTGGTCCCAGGTCAGCCAACGTGGTTGTGTTGGTCACTCTGGCTCGGACAGCAGGCCCAAGTTGATCCCAAAATGAAGTTCAATGGGTTGAGGGCAGGACTGCAGGCCATTCCATCCTCTCCTCTCCTACTCTATTGGTGCAGCAATCAGCAAAGCGTTCTCCACGTGTTCTCCACACTGTGACCCTACGATCCATGTGCTGTAGGCAGAATCTGGACTCATCGCTGAACATAATGTTCTTCCACATGTTGAGGTTCCAGTGCTCTGAACATAATGTTCCTCCACATGTTGAGGTTCCAGTGCTCTGAACATAATGTTCCTCCACATGTTGAGGTTCCAGTGCTCTGAACATAATGTTCCTCCACATGTTGAGGTTCCAGTGCTCTGAACATAATGTTCCTCCACATGTTGAGGTTCCAGTGCTCTGAACATAATGTTCCTCCACATGTTGAGGTTCCAGTGCTCTGAACATAATGTTCCTCCACATGTTGAGGTTCCAGTGCTCTGAACATAATGTTCCTCCACATGTTGAGGTTCCAGTGCTCTGAACATAATGTTCCTCCACATGTTGAGGTTCCAGTGCTCTGAACATGATGTTCCTCCACATGTTGAGGTTCCAGTGCTCTGAACATGATGTTCCTCCTCACGTTGAGGTTCCAGTGCTGCTGAGGTTCCAGTGCTCTGAAAATGATGTTCCTCCACATGTTGAGGCTCCTGGCAGCCGTACGAGATCGGAGAGTGGCTGCTGTTTGGCATTGGCAGAAGAGATTTGTCACATGGGCGCACCCCACAGACTCAGCATGTGACAAATCTCAGCTCTGCTGCTCATCCCACAAATGCTTGTTCCTCACAAATGTGGTACCATTGGAAAGGTAAGAAAACAGGCTTTCCAACGGTATAAGATGTATTGCCAAAAAACATTGTTACAACATAGAAATCATCTACCAAACACAAATTGCCCTACTTTTTGTGTTAAGTTTATATGATATGTTTTATGATTATTGATGCATGAAAGTGTTATCAAAGCTGGTGAAGGTGCAGCAGAAAGGAAACAGGAAGTGATCTTACTGATGTTCCTGAAGTCAGGTCTGTCCACAGACGGCGACACAGACAGGGTCTTATTGGTGGGCCCCACAGCCCCCGCCACATAGCGCTTACAACCTGATTACACAAATAGATTAATATTAATGATACACACATAATTAAATATTAGAGAGTCAGGGATTGTGTTTATCTGCTGATGTGCTATAGTAATGAAAAACAGTCAGCTGACCTGTTTGTTTGGTGACATCATCAGCGGCCCTCCTCGCCAGCTCTGCAGACGCCCTGTTGAGACGATAAGCCTGCACAACAAACAAAAACACAACATGTCAACATTTTAAAGTAAGAAAAAAGCTTGCAACTATATGACTTTTTCTTATGGTTACATGGAACCTGAAGTATCCTAAGCTTGTCACTGGAGAACTACATATAAACGCCCTAAATCACACAAACTACACACACATAGAATACAGATGTATAGATGATATGAAGATAACGTGTGGAGGCTGATGCTCTACCTGCTAATAATGACAGAAAATAAGGTTGAGATTATGATAATGAAACAAAATCTTTAACAAACTAGAAGGGCACTCTTGAAGTGAAAAACATCAATCATATTGTCTGTTATAGGTCCATAATAAATACAGTTAATGCACCATTTTGTGTGAAGAGAATTGCAATTTAACATTCTTTTTTTAAATTGGAGCCAAAACAATGTTTGAGGTATGAGGTTTGTTTAGACGAGAGGGGGTGTTTTTAAGCCAAGTCGGCTGAGGGCAGGCAGGATGTTGCAGTTTCAAGAGGAGATAAGAGCGAGGTCAAAGAACTCGGTGAAACAGCTGCATGTAGAAATGGAGTCAGTGGTTGTAGCAGTATCAGACTCAGACTTCATACCAGGAGTTCCAGCCCATAGTCTGCCTGCGCCACACAGGTGCTGCTGAATGTGTTGGTCTCGATGATGTCAGCACCAGCCAACAGGTAGTCCTGTAAACACACAGGGCAAAAGTCACACACTGCACACTGTTGTCATGGAGACATGCAGACAATGGTTTACAGGGAGTTCTGATGATTATAAGAAATGCTCACTCTGTCACTCTGCACTGCTTTGAGCACCACAAACATGATTCAATTTACTTCACCAACATTCAAGATTTTATGTAATAATATATACACAATTAGGGTGTAGTTATATAATGAATGAAAAACTTGGGTCACAGGTTCAACGATTTAAGTCTTTCACATGAAAGAGTTTAGTAAGATTCCTTCTTCAGGAGACACTACTGTGGCTTTACATCTTGTTGTTGCTATGAGATGTACTGGAGACCAATTTAGGACCCAAACCAAAGAAAATGGTGCAAGGCAGACTTTGGGCACATATGTGAAAATCATTCTTAGTAATGCTTTGAATTAACAAAAGGATCAGATTAATAAAACACACAAACTCCGACTGTAAAAATTAGAACAGATGTTTCCTGTGACAGTCCAATTTGGCTGTGTAGATAATAAAAACACATCTTACAATTAAAATGTAATGTATAATGATCAAGCATTATAGGGTTATAGTTATGATGAGGAAAGTACAGATGACTTTGTGTGTGTGTGTGTGTGTGTGTGTGTGTGTGTGTGTGTGTGTGTGTGTGTGTGTGTGTGTGTGTGTGTGTGTGTGTGCCCCACTCTGCCGGAGTCCTCAGCAGACAAAGAGAGACAGCAGCATGCTGAACCAGCATATTTGTATATCTAACTCTGCGATTTATGGTGTTCTTTCCACCAAAATAAAGTTGGTAATTGTTAGAACAGTGGAGAGACTACCCAAAAAGTGTTGGTACATTTGTTTCTGTCAAGTGTGAAGTGTGTTTTAAGGTTGTATTTGTCTGTAATAATGAAACAGGTTGAAAAAGATGTGTTAATTGAGTAGACTTAAGAAAACAAACAGCTAATAAACTATGTTAATAACAGTTAACTCACATTTCATTTGGAATTTAGCTTTTTGTAAATTTAATTCCATGATAATATTTCTCTTTAGTTTTTAATGTATGTATATTTTTGCTCCTTCTTTAACAACTAATATCCTTATACTATGTTTATGTTTGCATCACTTACCCCACAGCAAATTCCTAGTATGTGTAAACCTATTTGGCAATAAAGATATTTCTGATTCTGGGCTAGGGCTTGTCCTTGACAATTTAATGGTGTTTTTTTTTCTTCTAGTTTTTACTTGGCTGGCATTAGAACACTCTGAAAAGCACAACCCATAACACTGAAATGACCTGCCTGACTGATACCTCTCAGGGTTAGTACTGAAGTATATTTCCCCTGGATGATTACCTTGTGTATCGTGTAAATGATTTCTGGCTGTGTGAGACTGAGGAGGTCGTTGTTGCCCCTCAGAGATAGAGGGTGTTCTTTAAACTCCTCTCCCCTGAAATCTTCCTCTTCAAGTTTATGCTGCTGGATCATGGTGCCCATACCCCCATCCAAGACCATGATCCTTTGCTGCAGCACTGCTCGCAGCTCGGACTCCAATGGACAACTGCATCCTGGAAAAATAAATGGAACCTACATTTATCAAGGATTTTACACAAAGACAACAGGACTTTAATTCAAAGAAAACAAATAGGATAAGTGATTACATATTATTAAAGAACATAAGATCTTCTTCTCGTGTTCTCATGGAGTAAATCTGCCTAATTTCTGACATTCACTGGTGATTCTTACTGGCACTGATTTCACTATAGTATAAATCACTTAATAATTAATCATAACGTTTCTTGATCAGGAAGAAATATTTTAAAAAACATAATGTTATGCTGAATAATCTCTACGCAGCAGATTATCTCTACTAACAGTCAGTGTTCCTGTCTAATGAGTTCTAGGGACCTTTGAAAGATGCTACAAGCTCTAAAGGCCCTGACACACCAAACTCACACCAAAGAACACGTCCCGACGGACCCGATTGTTGTGTCGCCTCAAGTCCCTTACACACCAAGCCGATTTCGGCCGTTGATAGATGTCGGGCCGTCGATGAGCGTCGTGTCGCCCTACTCAGATTGGTGTGTCTTGGTGTGTCCCGCACCGTCGTGTCTTTTCGGCCGTGCCGACACCTTCCGCCACCGATTCCATGAATCGGTTGGCTGTTTTGATTTTTTTTGATTGGCTGTTCAGTTTAGCGAATCAGTGCATGAGAAGTGAAACGGAAGTGAGGGACCAAAACAAACTATTAAGAAGGCAAATCTGAGATTTGATTTAACTCCACCTCTTGACACAGGTTCAGGAAAGCCCCATGAGCTTCTCGCTGTAGAGTGAAAATGGAACGCACACGCTATTTGTTGTTTGTTTGTATCATGCAGTCTGTTCTTCTTCTCTCGGTGTATCACGCAGTCTGTCTTCCGGTTGTTGCCTCTTTAGAATGACAAATACACACTACCGCCGCCTGCTGGTAAGGAGAGTTATTGCGACTCACGCATGCGCAGGCGACGCGAGGCGACGTTCCGTCGGGACGTGTTCTTTGGTGTCAGTTTCGTGTGTAAGGACCTTCACGTCTCCTGCGTCTTGGCCAAAAAGTCGCACTGGAACACCCCGCAAAGACTTCAGCCGACGGCCAATTAGCACTTACGCACTGCGCATGGGTGAGTGGTAATAACTCTCCTTACCAGCAAGCGGCGGTAATTAGGGCTGCACGATATATCGTGACGATAATCGCGATATTCACATTTTTTTTTAGGACTTTTGACTTTAAGTAGGCAAATTAACTCAAACATGTCATGTTACTATTATTTTGCTGCTTGCTACAAAAGGAAAACTTGCACGGCCCTCATGTCAGGGGTACTTGAGTGAGTGACATGCAGGCTCTGCATGCACAGCAAACCACTAATCACAATCAAATCTCCAAAGCAAACGAACCCGGTGATTAAAGGTAAAAACACTGAATAAAGTCGTTTCATGTGTTTCTCCAGGGCAGTTCGGCGCTGCTAACCGAGCTAGCTCAGCTTGTTGCTCTGATAACTTAAGATCCAGATGTCCGTGACTAAAATCCTTCATCCGGTTAAATATAGTTAAAAAAATTGTATAGCATTAAAGTTCAAGAAAGGATGGTTTGCGGGAAAAAAAACTGTCTTTTCTTCAATTCCTGTATGTTTTCATATCACAATATATATCGCAGGGGGAAAAATAATCGCAGTGTCAGTTTTTTCCAATATTGTGCAGCCCTAGCGGTAGTGTCTATTCTTAATTCAAAAGAGGCAACCGGAAGACAGACAGCGTGATATATACAAACAACAAATAGCGTGCGTTTCACTTTCACTCTCGTCCATCACAGACTGTTTCACATAACGACTTATAATCGAAAACATGTTTAGTGCGGTACTGGAAAATGAAAAATAATAGCCGTCCGCAGGGCCGTATTCAGGATCG